ACAAGCAGTGGGATGCAGATCCATGGATAGGACAGAACAAGCAGTGGGATGGAGATCCATGGATAGGACAGAACAAGCAGTGGGATGGAGATCCATGGATAGGACAGAACAAGCAGTGGGATGGAGATCCATGGATAGGAACAAGCAGTGGGATGCAGATCCTTTCCTCCAGCCAAAGGCCTCTGTGGGTTGTGCTGAGCAGGGAAATTGCTTTGTGCTGCCCGGCTTTGTGAGAGTTTAATTAACCATGCCCTGGAGGGGATGAGGGAAAGGGAGCCCACCAGGCCCTGGGGTCCCCTCGGTGCTGTGGCTGTTTGGGGCTGTGCTTTGCTGCTGGCAATGAGCACTGAGGGTGGGCTCGGTCCCACAGAGCTGCCATTGTCCTTCTCCCATGGAAATGCCCTCGTGCTGCCCATGGTCTGCATGCAGAGAGGACTGGTGGCCTTCACCCTGGTTTTAGGCAGGTCCAGGAATCCCTCTGGCAGCCTCCTGGGTGGCCCAAAGCAAGGTCAAGAGACACAGAAGGCAGAACACTGAAATGACCTCGGAAGAGGAATCCTAAATGTGGGTGTGACATCCCTCAGCTGGACTCCATCACTGATGGCCAGGGTGCAACCCCCTTGTCCAACAATTCTGGGCATGGCTGCTCCACTGCTCCCAGGTGAGATCCGTCCTTTGCTTCCCTTCTCAGCCCACATCAGCTGGAAAGACCTGGTGTGGTGACACTGGGAATGACACAAACCAGGAGCCCCTTTCCACAGCTCCCACTGAGCTGCACCTCTGCTCCCCAGCACCACAAATCTCAGTGCCACCACCACCCCGAGGCCATGAAAGCAGAGAAATCAGCAAATCCTGGTGACAACTCATGACACCAAGTGGCTCAGGACTTCAGCAGAAGTTACAGGCAGATCCTGCAGGATCACTCCAGTAGCTTGGGAGCAACATGTAACACAAACAAAGTAATTTTCCATGCAGTACACAGGGTTCTGCTGACTTAAGGACTAGAAATGAACTCAACAATTCAGTGGGAACCACCTGGAGGAAGCAGCACTTTGTCAGGGACATGCTGTGAGTGGGTTGGGCATCTGCAGCAAGACGGAATTCACGTGGAAAAGGAGTGACCTCCCAAAAAACAGCATCCCAGTCCTCATCCCCAGCCAGTGCCAACCCTGCAGGAAGCTCTCTGACCAGCCAGGCTCACCTTCAGCTTGTGCTCATGCTCCTTGTTGACCCGGGACAGCAGCTGGGCTTTCCTTCTGTTGAGGGCGTCGATGAGGGCGTCACACTGGGCCACCAGGCAGGCCTCGAACTCCACGCTGTTCTCCTGTGGGGCACAGAGGGAGTCAAGCCCAGGGAATGTCCCCAGGACAGCTGGAAAACTGGGTTTTCCATTTTAATGGTGCCGCAGGGGTCATTTTTGCATTTTTCTGCCCCCCACGAACCCACAGCATCGGATGTGGGATTCGTACGGCCTGGGGTGGTGGAAAATGTGGAGGTGGTGATGCCTTGGGAAGGCTGCCCGAGATATGAAAAATATAAAAGCTAAGCCTGAGCCATCAGTGGCAGGTGAGGAACAGGTTTGGATCCACCCATGGCAGAGATGGGAAGGGCTCAGGACTCTGCTGTTCCCTCCATGAGCAGCAGTTCTGGGGAGGGTTCAGGGGGACAATATGGAAAATGAGGTTCCTTTGGGAGAGCACCCACCCAACCAAGCTTGGGAAGAGGGAGAGGGGATGGCTCATCCTGGTGGGAAGGGCAGTTTCTCAGCCTGCAGACTCAGTACCTGGATTTGCTGCACCATGTTGCGGAGCTGGACCAGGAATTCCTTTGCCTCCTTGGCTCTGTCTGACAATCCATTCAGGGCCTGGGAGAGCTGGCTCTGCAGGGGAAGCAAAGAGCAAGGTCATTTCCATGTCCAGGACTCATCCATCCCTCAACACAACTGACTCCACAGAGGTCCCTCCCAAGCACTCTCAGTCATGGAACTAACAGGCAGAAACAGAGCTTGTAACAATCAGGAAAATCCATGGAAACAACAGAAAAACAAAAGCAACAACTTCAGCTATCTGCACAGACCTTGCCCTGCTAACAAGGCAAGCTGTGGAAATGTGGGCACCACACCCAGATCAGAGCTCCTGGAATGCAGCTGATGGACTGGACACCCACAAGATGTCAGATTTAATTTGATCTGAAATGGGCCCATCTAATGGTTTTCAACAAAGAGACAGGATTGTGTGGGATTTGGGCTCAGAACCAGCATCCCACCAAGGTGTGCCTGAGTGCAAGGAGAGGAAAAGGAGGGTTAACCATCATTCCCTGGTTTTGGGAAGCAGATATTCAGCGTCCACCTCCTCCACAGGCTTCCCTGGGTGATCAGGGACAAGCCACATCCACCCTGGCTCTCACTTGCTCCCTCCCCTGGATCTGTGTCCTCCAGGGAATCACCAAAAATTCTGCAGGGTCTGACCCATGTCTGCTGGGAACACAGGTCAGGCCACCCCAGTCAGACTGAAAATCACCCAAAGCCTCCTGGAAGCGAAGGTTGGGGGAAATGGATTTATAGAAAATTCTTAAATCTTGACAGAAAGTTTATATAGTGTGTAGCTGTATGTAAACTTTGAGATAAGAAATGCTGATTTAGAAATGTTATGGAATAGGATAGAGATTGTTGAGAGAGAAATTGAACCTGAAACAAATTTTAAAGGATGGCTTTGCTAAAAAAGACAAGATATTTTGGAGAAATAGAACTGTGGAAGATGTATTGTAGTAAAACTCACAAGGGGTAATTTTAGATGATTGGCTTTAAGGCATTTACAGCATGGTGTGACAAAAGCTGAGAGGCCAAGAAACACTTATAATGTATTGTAATTAGGAAATAGTTGGCTTCTGATTGTGATGGTGCGAATTATAACATCTGTATTGTCTCACCCTTCTCATGAGACTGAAAATGGAATAAAAGTTTTTAAAATACCCTCAGTTACCCCATCTCCAGGTCAGAAAAAACCATAATCCAACAGAAGGTCAAGGTCTTCCTGCAAAATACTGACTGCTCCTTCTCCCTTTGGAGTGGGAACACTCCCACAGCCCTGGCCCTGAGCAGCAGAACGTGGTAATAACAATCATTATGTTCATCAAATGCTTTTTCTTTTTCATTTCCACGGCTCTTTCTGAACACTCACTCGGGAATCTTCCCAATCTCCCCCTTCTGCCATCACAGCAGTGTGTGGATTGTCTCAAGAGCTGGCCAAATCACCCTCAGCAATTTTCCTCTGCGAGAGATTTTGCCTCTTTTGTGGGCTGCAAATTGGCTGCAAACGCCCCGTGGGTTTTGGGGGTGATCTTTCTTTGAGGCAGACACAGAAAGGTGCTGGGAAGGTGGTTGATTTGTCCCCACATCTCCAAAAATCGACTGTGCCCATCCTTCCAGGGATCAGGATGTGGGCACTGGGCTGGCACCCCTTCCCAGCAGTGCTGTGCCCCCCTGGATGCCAGTGTGGGAGATGGGAGAAGGGAAGAGATTTCAGCTCTTTCTGGGCTGAAATCAGGAGTAAAACCCAGCACTGCTACCGAGGAGAGCCGTGGCAACCCTTTAATGGCCCAGAAATAATGGCCCAGAAAATGACCTCGCTGCTGCTTCCCCGGGAGACTTTAATCTCACCCGAGTGCTTCCTGCATCTTCTTTGTAATTTATCCTTAGGATGTGGAGCTAATCAGGGAATGCATCTCTAATAAAAATGGGATTGCTAAATCAGCTCTGCAGGTCCCCCCATCCCTCCTCCCTCCCCCAGGCAAGGTCAGAGCCCCGCAGGGACAGCCCAGCCCTGCCTCTTCCAAAGCCTCCATCACCTTCCTCAGCCCCCCTGGGTTTGGGAGGATGCCCCAAGCCCAGCAAGGTGTTTTGCTGAGAGCTGTGCTGCTGCAGAGCCCAGGTCCCTGATAACACAGGCAATTAATGGAAAAAATCAGCAGGGGTTGGCTGTGTTTACAAGCTCCTCATTAAAATTGCAGCATGTTGGGTTGGGGTTTTTTTTTCCCTTTAATGTCTTTAAAAGGGCTTTTCTTTTTTTTTTTTTTTTTCCCCATTAACATGAATTGCATAAAGGGTATCTTTAGATCAACATAATTCTTTGAGGCTTTCCTGATGGGAAAGCTTTTTAAAACTGGGCTTAAAAATTAATAAGAGCTCTGTGGTGCCTCTGTGTGTGTTGTCCATGGAGGTTCCTTCACCCCAGGCACCCCCAGCCTTGCAGCACAACGGCTCCCAGCTTGGAGCCCCCACAAAAAGATGGTCCACCAGCTCAGAGCATCCCTGCCTGTGGGCTCACTGTCTCAGCTCAGCCCTTCCCTCTGCTCCAGACATTCCTGATGCCTCCAGTGCAAGTGAGGGAAGAGCATTATCTAGTCTGAAAAGTGTAATTTTTCCAGAATTTTAAGGCCGGTTCCTAAACACGGGTGGGCACAGGTTGCTCACTGGACACAGGAGCTCCAAGGTTTGGCACTTCACCAGCAGGAGCTTCATTCCCATCTCCAGATGGGTCTCCCTCAGGAAGGCATTCCCTCTTGTCCTGTCACTTCACCCCTTGTCCCAAGTCCCTCTCCAGCTCTCCTGGAGCCCCTCTAGGCACTGGAGTCCTCCACAAGAGGAATATTGTGTGATATATTCAAATAACTGTGAACATTTCTGACACGCTGCAACGACCTGGAATGCTGCGCTTTGCATCTCCACGTGACAACAAAATCGTTGTGGCTTTTTGGGGTCGGGAACCCTCTCTGGGGACACCATCCATGGGATCACCCACTGGGCAGCTGCCATGTGCTGGAGTGGAGCCGAGCCCAGCCCTCAACCAGCATAGGCAGGGAAATTAATGAGTGTGAAATGAAGAAAAATCCCATTTACCGGTGCCTTAAAATCAAGGGGATTTATCCTTTGTGGAAAGCTGCCCTCTTTTTTCAATGCTCTCAGTCCAAGGCAGTAAGAAGAGACCTCTGTGATTCACATTAGCATTAATGGGAGCGAAGCATTTAAATCTCTCTGTCCCCAGAGCACTTAGGAGAGAATCTGTCCTCTCTTTGTGCTCATTAATAGCTCCATAACCCTCCTCCTTCCCAGGCATGGCTGACAAAGGGATTTCTGTCACTCTCTGATTCTCCCTTGTCCCAGCACAGGGATGGGAGCAGCCGGTGCAGAAGGCTGAGTGTGGCATTCACATCCTCTGAAAAAAATCCCTTCGCCCAGGGTTTTTCTCCTGGGAAGCTGAGAGGCCTCAGAGAAAAAGGAAAACAATTCTTATCTCATTTGCTTCTCCTGTGTGGAATGTGTTTGGAGATTGTTTACCCACAGGTGATTGTTTCAGTGGGTTCTGCTGAGTTGTTTTCACTCTTTGGCCAATCAGTGCCAAGCTGTGTCAGACTCTGGAAAGAGTCATGAGTTTTTATTATTATATTTTTAGCATTCTGTAAGTATCCTTTCTGTATTCTTCAGTTTAGTATAGTATTCTTTAATATAATATAGAATAATAAAATAATAAATTAGCCTTCTGAGAACATGGAGTCAGATTCATCACTCCTGCCTTTGTTGGGGCATTCCTTGCAAATACAACAGCTGAGGGCTCAGGAGAGCTGAGCAGGCTCCAAGAAAGAGAGAAAAGCATCATCTGAACTCTGCATCAGCAGAAGTGCTCTGGTTTTCTTCCTCCACAGCCCAGCTGCCAGCGATGGAGCTCATGCACGCTGACTTGGAGGTGAGGAGGGAGCTGGGCTGGCTGATTTTGGAGGCACTGGGTGCTGGAGGGGTGGGACAGCTCCATCTGGACAAGCCTCACTTCACTGGTGTTGGACACCAGCAGGGGTGAGGAACTCGGTCCCATTTCAAACCCAGCTTGTTTGCAGGCTCTGGCACCGGGCAGGATCATAAAATGACAGATTTGTTGAAGTTGGAAAAGCCCTCTGAGATGATGGAGTCCAACTGTTCCCCAGCACGTCCAAGGCCACCACTGACCATGTCCCCAGGTGCCACATCCACGTGGCTTTTAAATCCCTNCCCTTGTCCCAAGTCCCTCTCCAGCTCTCCTGGAGCCCCTCTAGGCACTGGAGTCCTCCACAAGAGGAATATTGTGTGATATATTCAAATAACTGTGAACATTTCTGACACGCTGCAACGACCTGGAATGCTGCGCTTTGCATCTCCACGTGACAACAAAATCGTTGTGGCTTTTTGGGGTCGGGAACCCTCTCTGGGGACACCATCCATGGGATCACCCACTGGGCAGCTGCCATGTGCTGGAGTGGAGCCGAGCCCAGCCCTCAACCAGCATAGGCAGGGAAATTAATGAGTGTGAAATGAAGAAAAATCCCATTTACCGGTGCCTTAAAATCAAGGGGATTTATCCTTTGTGGAAAGCTGCCCTCTTTTTTCAATGCTCTCAGTCCAAGGCAGTAAGAAGAGACCTCTGTGATTCACATTAGCATTAATGGGAGCGAAGCATTTAAATCTCTCTGTCCCCAGAGCACTTAGGAGAGAATCTGTCCTCTCTTTGTGCTCATTAATAGCTCCATAACCCTCCTCCTTCCCAGGCACGGCTGACAAAGGGATTTCTGTCACTCTCTGATTCTCCCTTGTCCCAGCACAGGGATGGGAGCAGCCGGTGCAGAAGGCTGAGTGTGGCATTCACATCCTCTGAAAAAAATCCCTTCGCCCAGGGTTTTTCTCCTGGGAAGCTGAGAGGCCTCAGAGAAAAAGGAAAACAATTCTTATCTCATTTGCTTCTCCTGTGTGGAATGTGTTTGGAGATTGTTTACCCACAGGTGATTGTTTCAGTGGGTTCTGCTGAGTTGTTTTCACTCTTTGGCCAATCAGTGCCAAGCTGTGTCAGACTCTGG